TCAGGGAAATTGTAAATTTCTAAAAAATTTTATTGTAAAATTGTGACCCATAGACAGAGGCCTTAATCCTTGACATGGCCATCATGGGTTTAAGTTCTGATCTGTTGACCTTTGCCGCATGTCTTCCTCTTCTCTCACAACCCTCTCTCCTGTCAGTCTTCTGTGAAATGCAGGCCACCAGAGTCAAAAAAATCTATAAAGAAAAAAAAATTCTTCTGACACAAACTATTCAAACTTTCATCACCTACAGAGCATTATTTTTGAACAAGCCGCCACAGAGACATTTTCTTCCTCCAGGCTGTCTCTCTGATGAACACATTGATCGCCTTACAGCCTGAGTAGCAATCATGTTGTACTAGAACAACCTGCCTTTAACAAAAGATTTAAAACATTTTTAGGTGTACAAACATGTATGCAATGTTCTTTTTGACTTCAATTGATGTCCTCTAAAGTTTGTATATTAATACTTAATGTGTGTGTAATGTGAGCATGTGAAACTGAACTCTGATTTCTAGTACATGCACACAATCTTGGTGTGTCAATTCTGATGGTGTGTGTGTGTGTGTGTGTGTGTGTGTGTGTGTGTGTGTGTGCGGTTGTGTACTTATTCATATGTCTTTAGGACCTTTTCTGGTGTAATCCCCTACCATTTTTGGTCCTAACTTGGTGGGTCATGTTAGGGTTTGGAATGTACTGATAATGGTCAGGGACTGGTTGGTTGCATGGTTAGTTATGAATCGAGTTACTAAAATTATCAGTATCAAGAATATAAATGCAAACTTGTTTTTGTGAACTTATGTATATTGTTTTAAAAGCAGTTTTAGTGGTAACTGTCTATAAAATTACTAAGTAATATCAAAGCCCTCCATTTTTCATTTGGCAGCTTTTTTGAGTGTTTTGTCTGTTCCAGTCTTCTGCCATTAGCTCACTATGTAATGCTTATCCTGGGATTTGTATTTTCACATTTTAATCTAAGTGATAAATATACAGGCATGCTTGTTTGTGTGCATGTGCACTAGCAGCAGGCATATTGTGGTTTTGTCTGTGTGTGTGTGTACATGTGCTTCTTTCAAGCCAGCAAACTTGCAATTTGAAACAGTAGTGGAATTTCTAGTCCACATGCAGTAGCAGGAGACGGAAACACGTGAGCCAGTTGACCTCAAACCATTTCTGAGTGGGGGAGGTGGAATGGCACAGCGGCAAAACGCTCAGTCTGGAGAAAGCTGAGGATGAAATGGGAAAGGGAGAAGAAGAGAAGGCTTTGGACAAATGCTGAAAGGTTGAGAAATGCAGACAACTGTTGAGGCTGTGGGGAAAATGTCATAATGCAACAGTAGAGAAGGACAATAACAACCAAAAACAGCAGGATTTGTTGGTGACATAACATGCCCTGCATGCCATCATTTGAAACGAGGCTGCACAGCGCAGCAGTAGGAAGTCCTCTCCTCAAAGCGTGATGGATTTGCTTCAGAACCAACTGACTTTTCTCTTGTCATTGATCATTTCTCTCTTGATTGGGCTTGATTCTGAGCTCTACAGTCTGTGGCTGTCTCATTGATGTTTTTCTGCCTTCACTCTGCTAAGGCTCCTGTGAACAGGACCAGGGTTTATGTGATGAAGCAGGCCCAGCAGGAGGAGATATGGCGGGGCTTGTGGCTCCTCCTCCATTCAACACAGACACAAACTGCTCTCAGTTCAGCCACTTTAAAAAGAGCAAGAGGTAGTCTGGTTTTAATTAAAGCGCTCAACAATCCTCCCTTTGTCTTTTGGCTTTCTCACAGTCACGTGTGAGTGTGTGTGACCATCATTACACCCCAAGTTTTGGTGACTGTTGTTTAGATGAAAGGGTGAGTCAAGGCTGCTTGTCCAGTCCCTGTATTCTCCACAGGAGGAAGTATTCCTAACCAGGACAGGGGAGCCCATTACCTCACTTCCTCTGCCAGTCTTTGTACTTGGTTCTAACTGGGGATGTCAATTTAATCAATATCTAGATATAACTGATGCTGATAACATGACAATGTGTCAAACAATTTAACTGACCCATTTTCCTTATCCAAGTTGTTACCCTTCTTCAAACAACAGCGCTTCAAAAACACAGAGACTCAGCCTTCCTTTACCACAGAGGCTCACTTGAAAATTCATGGCTGAGAATGAAATTGTGAGCTGCTGCTGGAAGTTTAAAACTCCAACATAGAAGGCATGTCCAGAGAAGAGCCTCTCTGTCAGTGAGTCAAACACAAAGTGTTGTTGGGAGATACTTTGATCAATGAGGTAGGAAAAGCTGAGATGCAGAAGGATGCAAGATGCTTGCTGTGCTAATGCTAACTAGTGAAACAGAGATCAACTGGTGAAGAAGGTTGGTGTATCTGGATTAGTGAAGTAATAAAGCTCCTGGATGACACAAGTTAACATCTGTTTAAGTATTAGCTCCTTGCTGCCAGTTCATTGATGTGAGTTGATCCATTTTCCCATCCAGTGTTTGCCGCATGGCGTCATGCTTTGTTCTAATGTGGGAACAGATTACTGTAGAAAAATATCCCTCAGCTGATCACTTCATCAGCTGTTAAATAGTAAAGCAACGGCATGACCAACATAATCTCTCCATTACTCTGTACCTGTACCTGCTAGTAAATGTTAACAAACTGTGGGCCCAGACAGTTGGATCAGAAACCAGTCAGAACCGATACCAACCTGCCCAGCTAAATGTCGCTGTTCACCAAAGAAATATAACCAGAAACACAAACTGAATACTTTTGCATGAACCTGATCAATGTCGGTGNATATATATACACACACACACACACACACACATATACTGTGTGTGTATATATATATATATATATATATATATATATATATATATATATATATATATATATATAGCAAAGACACAAAAAAACTCCTGTTAATAGCACTCTCCCTAATATATTTTTAGAATAATTTAGAGAAACAGCAAATTTTTTCTATTAATTTTTTTATAATGTAGGACTGAAGATATTTTTTTGAAGTTTTCAAAATTTCTAAATATAAATTTTTCTAAGAACTAATACAGTTTTAGAAAAATTTAGAGAAACAGTAAAAATGTGTATATAAAGACTGATGAGATACAATATGACTGAATGCAGAGTAAATTACATCATTATGGTATTATACGGGAAATTTACGGGAAAATAATAATAGAGGAGCACAGCATGAAAGAGGCCAAAACGGGGAGACTTGGCAGGTATGAAGACCTATACCAAAACACAAAGTCTCACCTTGTGAAGAATCTAATGTCATTGTCCGATGACGCGAAACGATGAATGCCGAATCGCTGCCTCAGAGTAAGGCTCTCCGCCTGTTCCCGTAGCTGGCGGATTTCCTCCCGGAGAGCATCATTTTCCTCCAACACCAAATCCACAACTGCAGGGTCTGGAGCCGAGGCGTAATCGTGTTCCTTAGTACAGACATTGGCTGGTGGGTTAGCCTCCTCCTCACTGTCCTCTGGTAGTGGTCTTTTCCTTGTCTCCCAAACCCCCGGTGGTGGGAGTGGAAGGGAGAAATTATTCCACTCGAAAAGAGCAGGTACAGCTCCCTTTCTTAACCTCCGTCTGCCCATTTCTTTCTCAGGCTCTTTTATGTCCTCAGGTTTGAAATGCTGGCTACAAACTCTAGTGTGACCTTTGATGGCTAAGTTAGCTCTCCGGATAGCCACTATCCATTGTTTCCTTAACTCCTCATCAGCAGGGAAGCTGAAAAAACTGAGGAATTTGTTGCACCTACTACTCACCGGACACAACGGCACACAGCAAAACTCGGATGTTGTGCCAGTTGCTCTGAGATATTTTATTTTCTGCGTGCTCTTCATTGTTGTTACTGCTAAAAGCTGTACAGAAAACAGGCTGCAGGAAACGATCTATGTGGAGTAAATTTAAAAGGAAGTACGTCACCACTACTCGTGGTTCGTCAGCTCATGCGTCAGCTATTCAAGTATGGCAGGCCGTTTTATCATAAATTCGGTTTTACCGCCCTTACATTCCAGATATCTGAAATTGCTTTATGACTAGAGGTATAACTAATTTAAGATATCTTCAATTATATTTCGACTAGACAAAATACCTATTCGCGATATCTGTAATTACATTCTGACTAGTCGAAATGACATCAGATTTACCACTCAGTTGTATGGAGGATATGGTAGTATGGCAGGCCGATTTAACATAAATTCTGTCTTACTGCCCTTACATTCCAGATATCTCAAATTGTTTTATTATTAGACGTTTTAGTAATTTAAGATATCTCTAATTATATTTTGACTAGACAATATACCTATTTGAGATATCTCTAATTACATTCTGACTAGTCGAAATGACGTCAGATTTACCATTGACTTGTATGGAAGACTTCATTTCAAGATATCTGCAATGAAATACTGACTATCTGAAATACACATTTCAGACATCTACAATTCAATTATGACTAGTCATAAAGTAAATTCAAGATATGTAGATTTTAGTTTTGACTAGTCAAAATTCTATTTAAAGATATCTTTAAATATCTTTTAAAGATATCATGATATAGTTTTGAGATATAGTCAAAACTATATCTCCTATTTTTAGATAGGAGATATAGTTTTGACTAGTGAAAATTAAATTATAGATATCTTAAAAGCAAATAATGGCTAGGCAAAACTAAATTAGAGAAATCTCGAATTGTACTTTTGACTAGTCAAAATTGCTTTTCAGATATCTCCAAATGAATTAGAGATATCTTGAATTACGCAGTTTTTCTATTTAAGATATCTTAAATTAACATTCTGACTAGTCAGAATGACGTTACTGATATGTTGAATATGTATTCTGTATAGTCAAAACATCACTGACTTACGTAGCATTTCGATAGTTAATAAAACAATGAAAAATAAAAAAAAAATAGAAAGATGTTTGAAAATGCACCACTTTCATTTTGAAAATATGTTGACAGCAGCCCTTTTAGCTTTTCAAAGCTGTTTTTAAGTTTATTGTGTTTGTTGGAAGTAAATAAGCAAGAAATTCTATGCAGATTTCTGAAGCAGTCGTCAAGTGCCTAAAGTTTTGCTATATCCACATATCCCATATTTATGGGTATGGAAGCCTGTTTCCCCCGCCCGCGTAGAAAAAAAAAAAAAAAAATCTCGAAATAATGAGGTACTATTTCGCGACTCTGTACCGCCCAGTGCACATGTGTTTCGGCGAAGCTGTCACGCTTTTCTCACGTTCTTGCAAATGCCCTCTCATCAGACACACATACTGTAGCGGCTTTCTAGGTTCCAAAGCCAAACAGAATTTATATCAGAGAAAGCTAATTCTCCAAGACAATGTAGGTCAGTATAAAATCAGTCTTCATGTATTTGTTTTTGTTTTAGCCAATGTTTCGTTTGGGAATCGAAAACTCTAAGATCAATTTCCACTTTTATTCCTGAAGGTGGGGTCTCCGGAAGACCTGGCTCTTTCGGCTCGGATCACTTAAAAGAGTTGGCTCTTTCGACTCCAAAGTACGTGCTTGTACGTGTTCTTCGGAAATGTATTTTTTTTTTGTTCCTCAATTTATTATCCACCAGAAAAATGTTGCAAAATGAATGAGAGCTCATAGTCGGAAATGACTACATTCAACAGCTCTTCTTCTGGATCGGCGTAAAGTGAAATGTGCATTTTGAGTTTTAAAATGAGTTTGTTACTTGGCTTTTGATGGTTACATTTACAGATTTACCTGCAGAAAATTGATGGAACGGGAGCTTTTAATTCAGAAATCTTCCCATTTTGTCTGAAACTTGTTTTTGTACTGAACCAGCAATCAGAAAACATGCTTCTGTTACATGACTGTTTACTGCTCTAAAGTAATGGGTTTTAAATGTTTTCATCTCTGAATAACACACCAGCAAATGCATTTTTTTTACTCATGAAAGTGCATGCAATTACACTTCCATAACTGCTTGACCAAACTTAAGACTGGATTTTTTTCTTTATCTTCTGACTTTGACCTAATCACTGGCCCTTAAAATTTATAAAACAGTTTGATGCCTTTTTTTTAAATACGTTGAACAGCTATAAACGGCAGAATACATTACACAGTTCTCCAAAAAATAATAAATAACCAAAAGCACTGCAGCATGGAAACAACTTCTTTTATTGGTCACTACAGGAAGTGTGTGTTTCTGAAGCAATTAGGTTTCATTGTGTTGTGGCCTGGCTGTATATGTAGAACTTCTTTGTTTGGCTAAGCGAACCAGCAAGATGCAGTTTTCCCTTGGCTGTTGGTGCAAGTTCTCATTGTTCTTCTTTTGGATCTCTGTATTGAATTAACTTGTGGCATCCAGCTCCTCCAGTGCATCCAGGAGCCTGTGCAAAACACGATAGACTTTTTAAAAATTATTATTCTTTATGACTCCCGATTGAAACTATGAAATGACACCATATACATATTTATTTTCGCCCTCATGATTCTTACTTGAAGTCTCCGCCATCCAGCAGAGTCTTGTACGTGCTAATCTCGGCCTCAAGCTTCATCTTCATGTTGAGCAGCGCCTCGTACTCCTGGGTCTGCTGCTTAATATTCGCCCGCAAGTTGGTGAGTTCTTCTTCTAGGCGTATGATGACGTTGTTGTATTTTTCCATTTCCATGTTGTAGCGTAAATCTGTGTTATGTAAAGTGTCTTCTAAAGAGGCTTTCTGTTGGAGAAGTTGGAAAACGTGTGAAAACCGGTCCACAAAAAGACATTTTTGGATAGATAATATGCAGCTATAGTTTTACAGATTGGATCATTTCAATCTGTGAATAAAGCAAAAAATGTGTAGAAAATGTTTTGAGGGCTTACTAAGCTCTGTTGAGACGCGAGTTCAATTTCCAGCGTCTGTATTTGTCTGCTTAAATCGCTTTTCTCCACCTGAGCCCCCTGGAGTGCTTCTGTATTCTGTGACACCTGGACTTGCACATCTGCAATCTGACAGGGAAAAAAAAAAACAAAAAAAAACACGACATGTTGACCTGACAAGATAGCCCACCACTCTATCTTATCATTTCCCTCATTTTACTGGCATTCCTTACCTGATTTTCATGCCAGCGTTTAAGGTCCTCTGCATTCTTCACGGCAATCTTCTCATAGTTGGCTCTCATGTCCTCCATAATCTGAGAGAGGTCCTGACCTTTGGGAGCATCAACGTCCACTTGCACGCCAGACTGGGAAATCTGATTCCTTATCTCCATCACCTCCTGTAGGAACGTAAAAGGGTTAGGGAGACAAAAAAGGAACGTAAAAACACATTTTTATTTATTTATTTATTTATTTATTTAGAGTTAAAGAGAGTTGAATTTGAATTGCTGGATGACTGTGAAGCCTATAGTATTTTTCATATGGTGCTAAAAAGAACATGTAAAAAGGTTTTTGCTTTTCTATAAATACATGTACATTAAAGGAGATTTGGCGCCCCCTTGTGGAGTGTGTGGCTTTAAGCATTTTAAAAAATATCTATGAAATGTGAAATTCTGCTGTATGTAATTTGCATAATTCATCTTAAGTTAGAGGTTTATTTCTCTGTTTTTAGGGAGTTTTGATTGGATTTAATCACCCATAGTCTAAAATCTTAAATACTTAGACCTTTGCTAAATAATTGTACACTGAACACAAGTTACAGGTTTTATTTCTGAATAAAACACATTTTCACTAGTGAATGACATTAGACCACCTTAGACCATTTGCGAAACAAAATATATAGGTTGACTGAACCTGGATTAAAATGTTAAATTAATGCATTGTTTTCAAGAACACTCTAGAAACTCTGACCGAGTGTTTCTATTTAGACGCAAAATGTTAATGAGTCTTGATACTCTGTTTCATATTAAGAACAGGCAGCTGTTAAAGCTGATATTCACAGCTCATTGATGACGCTTCGTCTTAGCAGTGAAAAGAAGCTTGTGACTCTGTTACTAATGTGTGTTAAAAGCTGCAAGGTCACAGATAAATTCAGGGAAACTGGAACGTGTTCTCAAATAGCTAAGATCTCAACAAATAAAAGAAAACTCCTCCCCGTCCTCTCCCACTAACATACTTTTGCTACACAGATTTATTTCCACAGTAAAAAAAAAAAAAAAGAATGGACTTTTTTTTTTTTTCCTCTTTTTTACTCTGTGTTTAAACTGAAATGGTAAACTATTTTCAAGCAATCCCTTTGGGTTTCCAAGAACCACTTTGCAACTGTGTTGGATTTTGTTCTGCAAGAATATGACATATTCTATTTAAGAATTAAAATAAATTGTGCCCCAGGGTAAAAGTGCTAAAAATAAAGAGACACCGCAAACTCACGCTTTCATGGTTCTTTTTCAGGAAATGGAGCTCTTCCTTCACAGCTTCGAGCTCGCTTTCGATGTTCAGCCTGCTCATGTTGGTTTCGTCGATGACTTTCTTCAGGCCAGCGATGTCGCCCTCCACAGACTGCCGGATCGCCATCTCATTCTCGAACCTGTTGCAGGTCGGACATGCAAACACCTCTGTTAAATACCATAGGATGATGCAGTTAAAGGAGTTGATGTGGAGAATCATAAAAAAAAAACTAAACTAAAACACATACTTCACTTTGAAGTCATCTGCAGCAAGACGGGCGTTGTCAATCTGGAGCACAAATCGAGCGTTCTCGGCTATTTTGTCAAAGATCTGTATGAGAGAAAGTTATTTTTTGTGTCATATATACATACGTGTCATGCAAACAAAAATATAAAATGAGGACATAGTGCTCTTGAAATATAGTTATTTTTTTTGAGAAGGCTCCATCATGGATGTAAAAGTCTGAGTTGGAGCATTTACTTCCCCGTTTTTAACGGCAGAAACCCAAGAATCAAGAGCGTAGGATTGTCTGATTCATAGCAACATTTGCTCATAAAAAAGGAACCATAAATTGCAGAACAGGAAGAGGGGGATGTTCCTGCAGCAAAGCAAAAACTAGTTTGTTTTAGCGTTGCTATACGAACGGGTTTCCTGTCTGAAGAAGTCACGCAAATAACTTTTTCTTCTCTCCAGCTTTCAGCTGCATGTCGCTGTCAGTCACATGTATCACTCTGGAGTTGTATGCGTGCACAGATCTAGGAAATTCTTTCTGACTGACTCTCAGCTTCTTTTTTTTGTCTCTCTCTCTCTTTGTGGTCGTACATCCTGCCACAATAAACAGCCTAAATTCTTGCACCCTTTATGCCAAGATAGTCACCATAGATGTGCCATTATATGATATTGAAGCACTGGACCCTGAAAAGGAATGTGACATTTGACTCTTTGGGACTGGAGCTGATTGTTATACAACCACTGCACTGCAGACATCGCTCAGTGTGTGTGTGTGTGTGTGTGTGTGTGTGTGTGTAGATGTGGTTACTACACATCTGTTTCCCATTGAAGCTCTCCCACACCAGAGCATGCTTGTAGAATCACCATCTAACAAGCAGATTCTTTAGCTTTTTTTTTTTTTTTTTTCCTGGTCTTCTGAGTGAGCCTCTTGTGATTCAAACCTCGTGTTAGTGATTCATTGGAGGAAGTTCCGGCCCGTTTGAAGCCCTAAAGAAAGCTCCGCAAAGGGAGGGTTGTAGCTTAGCAACCACACCCTTCATTTTCATAAATGAAATCTGATAACTTATGAAGGTAACGCAACCTATCTTTAAAAATCCCAACTTGGCGTCTTGTTAGTTTCTAGCACACCAATTTTCACCACTTAAAATCTACTTTTTGTCATTGTTTACGTCTTTAAACTATAGCGAAAGAGAGTCACAGATTTCCACTTTGAAGCACTACAAAGTTTTCTTCTCACCTGGTTGCGCAGGTCTTCTATGATGGGCTCGTACTTGCTGTAATCTCTCACATCCTGACCGCCCCTCTCCAGGGCCTCCCTGATGTTTATCTCCAGCTTCTTGTTGGCCTGCTCCAGGTTCCTCACCGTCTCCAGGTAGTTGGCCAGACGGTCATTCAGGTTCTGCATTGCCCCCTTCTCATTGCCGAGGATGCTGGCACTGCCACCGGATGCAGCAGCAGCACCGGCCCCGCCGAAGCCCGCGCCCGCTCCGCCGCCCAGGGCGCTGCTGAGCTTGAAGCCGCCAGAGGAAGTTGACATGGGAGCACCGGAGCGCAGGGTGGATGCAGAGGCAGAGGAGATGCGGGCACCCTGTCCTCCGGCTCCGCCATAAATACTGGCAGCTCGGTACTGAGGAGCAGAGCGGGTGAAGGAGATCCGGGACGAAGGGATCTGCATGCTGGAATTTCTGTAGCTCATTTTGAAGAATTGCAAGAAGAGGTGCAAAGAGAAATCAGAGCTGTGGAGGCTGACTGCTGGCCGAGTTAGAAAGTGACGCTGCCAGAGGGAAGTGGGGGAACTTATACTGCTGCCTCTCTCCTCCAATAACAGCTGGCCTCTTAGACCCTGCCCACTTCACCAGCCACCTCACTGTTCTCTCCTTCTGTCACCCGCTGACAACGTTCCGCTTTTCTTTCTTTTTTTCTTTTTTTTTTTAGCCCACAATGTGTTTTCTGTCGCCATGGTGATGCGTGAAACACTTTTGGCCGTGAAAAGGCTTGAAGGTTGTCAAAGCAAAATAGACCCCCCCCCACACACGTAAACTATTCATCAAAGCAAACAGAAGAACATATACACCCTGCTTAGACAAAGTTCTGTTTTAATGGTAATAGAAAACCGAGCCTGACAAGTAAAGGCTCTCTGCACGTCAATGAGAAAGTTGCTCAAAACTAATAACTATTCACAACCTTTGAACTATGTCTTCTGGACTCCAACCATGCAAGACAAATTCTTGCGGTTTGTCCATAAAAGGCAAAACGAATCAGATACTGCTTAGTTTCTGTGTTTGTGGTCAGCAAGTCATAGAATAAACAGAATTCTCCAGCCTTCTTATCTGCACCGAGCTAAGCTCAAGATAACACAGCTGCAGAGTTAGGAAACAAGAC